ACACCATCTCCCTTGGTTGACCTTAGGAATTGCTTCTGAATGATCAGGACCAAGACAATCTGGCCGTTTACCATTAGGAGTCCCTTCTACATCCCTGACTGCTCAGGTGCCCATGTTCATGAAGGAACACCAGCCTTCAGCCCTGGGCGGTGACGGTGCTTCTGCTGGCACATGGTAGTTGGGAACTGTCACCAGACTGGGTAGAAATGAAACCAGGTGGCAGGGCACAGCAGGGGGGAATGAAGGATGGAGAGAGGATTCTGGAACGATGGCCAACTCGTGAGGCTCAGTCCAGGAACATCAGAATTCAGCCCACGGACAAGGAATCCTGGAGCTGTCCTGACCAACAGCTGTCCCTGGCACTGCTGGGATGAATGGGTCAGACACGGTGTCGCTTAACACAGACAGTGCGGAGAGCAGGGCAAGGGCAGAGGGACTGTATTTGGTTCATTTTCACTTACATTTCTTTCCTCCATGAGGAAGAGACACAGGGAGAGGAGGCGAAGTGACAGGACACGCAGTAGGGTCTGGAAGCTTCCAGTCACCCCTGCCGAAGTCAGCACTAACCCAGGCACACACATGTCCCACTGCTCCAGGAGGGCTCCTGGCAGAGCCCAGGACCTTCACTCTGGTTGGTCACACACAGGGTGCATGTCACTGCAGTGCCACCCTCTGGCTGTGCTTGTGAGAGTTTGACGACAACCTCCTCATCATTTTAAGAAAAACACCATGGATGACCAGTTGTCCCAGAGGTGCACTAGGGTATCTGATGTGTTCTGACCTTCACATGAGGGCAAATGATGGAGACCACTGTGGGAATAGCAAACTACGGGGAACAGCCTTGAAAGAGAAACAAAGGAGGTGGGAATGGGCCAGGTGATGTCAGAGGTCCCAGGCTCTCCCGGGTGTCACCTGCACAACAAAACTCACAGGTCATGGCAATAGTGAGCTATTCTAGAGACGACCCAGAAACGCTCATGTGTCCTCCTTGAGAAATGCAGCTGTGGGTTCTAGAATGTGCCAGGAGGTCCAGGTTTTCCTAAATTAGGATAGGTGCTGTTTCTGAGCTGGAACCAGGTGAGTCGGACATTTCTTGACTCTTGACCTACAGCTCCCCAATGCTCACAGAGATGGACTGAGGTAGGGCTTCCTTCAGGGCCATCATGGTGATAGGACACGTGATCCTGGAGGGGGAAGGGACCATCAGGGCTGCCCGTCCACTGACCCAGTAGGAGTCAGAGTGGTGGACCTTGTTGGAGAGAAAGACAAAAAGCACCCCCAGCAGGGCACGGTCAGGACAAAATCCTGTCCTAGATCGCTCCATCCTGTGGGCTAACACACGGGCCTGACTTGGTTTTCCAGCCACCTGAGCCAGGAGTCCCCATGCACTAGGGTCCAGGACTTCCCACCACTGGGCTATGGGACAGGCCTAGACACCTGACTTTAACAGATGGTGAGAGACAGAAAGACAGAGTGACCTGGAGGACACACAGGACTTGATAGGTGTAGACATAACCATGTTCTGATGTTGGGCTCCCTGGGTCCAGACCCTGACTTTGCCTTTTCCCT